CCCTCCCTCCCTCCTTCCTTCCTTCCTTCCTTCCTTCCTTCCTTCCTTCCTTCCTTCCTTCCTTCTTGAGACAGGGTTTCTTTATGTAGCCTTGGCTGTCCTAGAACAAGCTCTGTAGACCAGGCTGGCCTTGACCTCTCAGAAATCCACCTGCCTCTGCCTCCCGAGTGCTGGGACTAAAGATGTGCATGAGCTGCCACCACCGCCTGGTGGCTTTCTTGTTAAAATGCATGAATCTGGGTTTCTGCTCTTTCTCAGGGCTAGATTAACAGCAGAGAGGATGAGTGGGCGGGATCTGCAGGGAGAAGCAGGAGGCACTGCCAACCTAAGACATCCTCACAAGCAAGTGGTCTGCTCCCCTCCCACACCGCTCCTACCTTGCGGTATTTCCACACTCCCCCCTCCCACACCGCTCCCACCTTGCGGTATTTCCCCCCTCCCCCCTCCCACACCGCTCCCACCTTGCGGTATTTCCACAGCTGGTTGCCCTTCATGCTGTGGCAGTCATAGAGGGTGACTGGGCTAGTGTGGGAGACAGCGTCGAAGCAGAGCTTCTTGGTGTGCTGAGGGTCTCCGGGCCGGATGTCCTCCCTCCAGGTGAAGGTGAAGACCTGCATGCATAGGGACATCGGTAGAGAGGGAGCAAGCACTGAGAATGTCCCTCTTTGCTTACTAGCTTGTCTTTTGAGATGGAGTCTACTGTCCAGGGATAATCTTGAACTCCTGCTCTTCCTGCCTCCAGCTCCCAGGTACTGAAATTACAGGATTTGCTACCATGCCTGGCTTGCTTGATATTTATTTATTTATTTATTTATTTATTTATTTATTTATTTATTTATTTATTTATTTATTTATTTATTTATTTATTACTATTGTTGAAACAGGCTTCTACTCTGTAGCCCAGGCTGACTCTGAACTCTGTGAACTCCTGCTTCAACCTCCTGAGTGCTGGCATTACAAGCATGCACTGAAATGGTGGGCTTTTGCTTCGTTTTGAGTTAGAAAAAATTAAGTTCCAGGGTCCTAAAAAGAGTTTGTTGACTCTATCTCCTGTCCTAATAAGCCAGCCTTAACTTTAAGCGGAGATTTACTTTTATTTATTATGTGTATGAGTGTGTCTGTGCATGTGAGTGCAGTGCCTGCAAAGACCAGAAGAGGGCGCTAGAGCCTCTGGAGCTGGAGTTATAGAGGGTTGTGAGCTGCCCAGTGTGGCTGCTGGGAAACGAACCCGGGTCTTCTGTAAGAACAGTACGTTCTTTTAACTGCTGAGCCATCTCACCATCTCTCCATCCCCTAGCCATTCAGCGTTAAAAGGCATCAACTCCCAGCCAATCCTATCGCCTTCCTGCTGCTCCTACTGCGTTCTCAAGTGCACCCAGACAAGGTAGTAAGTCAGAAGCTTCAGCAAGCGCCACTCTAATGAGGGGAAGTCTCCCCAGGGACCTTGGTGCCACTAGACACCCAGTGGACTTCCCATTCTGGATGAAGATCCAAGCTGGACCCACTTCCTGAATTTAGCTTATTAGTGCTCTCCCAATCTCCCAACCCCAACACCTTTCCACAGCTTTACTAAGCGCCGATACTCTGTCCACAGTGAAAGTGCACAGCTGGCGTGCTCCGACTGCCTAAAGCCATCCCAAAGATAACAAGCCTGCCCCTCTCCAGGGTCCCTGTGCTCCCTGGCCCAGTCTCCCGCCAGTCCCCTCATGGTGTCCCCAGGCCACCAGAGATCTGCTTTCTCTTACTAGAGATTCAGTTGCAACTTCTAGAATTCTCTAAAACTGGACTCACAGTATGTCCTCCCCCTTTGTCTGTCTGCCTTTCTTTCTTTCTTTTTAACTTGATCTCACTGTGGTCACTCTGGCTGCCAGCACATTTACCAACATCTCGCTCCCTGACGTTACTGTCCTGTCTGCCTTTTGAGATGTCTGGGCTGGCTCCAGATTTTGGTTTAAAAAGCAGGCCACTAGGACCATTTGTGTGCAAGTCTTTGGCTACATAGTGGGGTTCCAGGCCAGCCAGGGCTACACACTGAGAAGCCCCTAGAAGGCTGGAATTGTGCTGAATTTACCCAGCAGCTTGGAAAGGACAGCCAGCAGTGGCCAAACTTCATTTATTCACGCCTCTGATTTCTGACAGCAGGGTTTGCCGAGTGCAGGGCTCAGGTGTCTCCCGAATTTTGTTAGAAGCCCAAGTAGTTAACGCTATTTATACTTTACTACATTTGTGTTTGTTTGTTTGTTTTTTCGAGACATGGTTTCTCTGTGTAGCTTCAGAGCTTGTCCTGGATCTCACTCTGTAGACCAGGCTGGCCTCGAACTCACAGAGATCTGCCTGACTCTGCCTCTGAGTGCTGGCATCAAAGATGTGCGCCACCACGCCCGGCGTGTGTTTTTAATTTCTGTCAGCATGAAAACAAATGCCAACAGAAGCCTGCAAGGATGCAGGGCCAGGAGCTCTGCTACCCTGGGGAGGAATTCAAGTGAGTGCAGCCCCTGTGAAAATCGGTGTGGCGGGCCTCAAACACGAAAACCAGCCTACTATACGTGACCCAGCTCTCCTCGGAGGCATCTATGCCAGCACATTAAAGAGAGACCTGCTGTTACTTTCTTACTGAAGCAAGGTCTCACATTGCACAGGCTGGCCTTGATCTCCCACCTCCTCTCAGCCTCCAGAGTGCTGGGATTAATTACAGGCGTGTGCCACCAGGGTCAGTTATGGGGTGTGAGGATTAAATCCAGGGCTTTGCACATGCTAGGCAGGCACTCTTGTAGCTGAGCACTTGTTTCCCAGTGTTTTTTGTTTAAATTTATATTTATAGGCTGGGCGTGGTGCTCGCCTTTAATTCCAGCACTCAGGAGGCAAAAAGGCAGGAGAATCTCTGATTTTAGGGCTGATCTGGTCTAGATAGCAAGTTCCATGACAGCCAGGGCTATATTATTATTATTTTGATTTTTCAAGACAAGATTTCTCTTGGCTGTCCTGGAACTCACTTGGTAGCCCAGGCTGGCCTCGAACTCACAGAGATCTGCCTGTCTCTGCCTCCTGAGTGCTGGGATTAAAGGCGTGGGGACTACCACAGCCTGCCAAAACAATGATTTTAGTACTCTCTCTCTTTCTCTCTCTGTGTGTTGTATGTGCTATGGCATGAGCGTGTTGGTCAGGGGAAACTTTTGGGATGTGGCTCTCACCTTCTACCCTGAGCTCTGGGGACTGAACTCAGGTTTTTAGCTTGCAAGGCAAGCATGCACCTTTACCAGCTGGGCCACCTCACCCGACAGCCCCGTTTAGTGATTTTAGAAGCCGAGGAAGACAGATGCAGGGCAGGCAGCGCATGTCGCCTTCCAAGGCAGTGTCCTCTATGAGCCATTACCCTGTGGAAAGGTCCTCAAGAGAGCTGGCTAGAGGCTGGTGTCACGCTCTTGAATCTGCAGAACCATGAGAACTGAAAGCTAAATCAACCTCCATGCTTTATAAAGCACTCAGAACATGACACTCAGCTATAGTAACAGAAACCAGAGCAAACGGGGCTAGGGAGATTGCTCAGTGGTTAAGGGCACTGACTGCTCATTCAGAGGACCCGGGGTTCAAATCTCAGCACCCACATCACAGCTCACACTGGCCTGTAACTCCAGTTTCAGGGGACCTGACATCAATGCATATAAAATAATGATAATGATAATGATAATAATAATAATAAACGCGCGCGCACGCACACACACACACACACACACACACACACACACACACACTACTAAAATGAGCTAAAAGTTGCCTATTGGTTACAGGCATGAGGGTGGGAATTTATAGGACAGTCCAGATGAACAGTGGTATCTGTCATATGCAGGAATTCCCTACTCCCTTCCCATGGTGCTCTGGGAGCTCCGAGACTCATCCTCTGGTTGACAAATGTGTGAAGACCTGGGAGTCCCTTTGGGTGGCCCTTACCTGCATGCTGTTCCAGGCAGCCTCCCCACGGCCCCGAATGCAGGTCTCAAGCCTCAGCGGGGAGCCCAAAGTGCCATGCTTGGTGTCTGTGCACAGCCCTGTGCCCACGTTGCGAATCTGAGGGCAAAAATGAAGAGCAACCACTGAGGCACCTCAAGGTGTCCACTGGGCCCTGCTGGGTGGTGAGGAGACTGGGGCAGAAATCCAAGACAGGCTGAACTCTGAACTTCCTTAGAAGGGCTTGCCCCAGGCTGCTGGAGGGCCTCCTGACTGTGATGGACAGGATCCCAGGAGCTCCCGAGTGACAATCTTCCTGAAGTCTGGGAAGGTGAGGAGGAAGGAGGGAGGCCCAAGTCCTCCTATGGCCTCACACTGACAGCATCCCACCCAGCAGATCCAGGATCCAATTTGACCCCCATTCCAGGGGCCTGAGGGGCAGGTGTCCGGCAGGGAACAGTGTCTTGGAAGCTATTCGAGAAGGATGCAGTATCTTTGCCATCTAGAATTATCCTTTAGGGCAAGGGAATGGCACGGGGAAGCAGGAGGTCTCCCCAGCCCACTCCAAAGAAATGAAGGCTGGAGGGTCAGGTGGGAGCTCTGGGCTGCAGATTTGCTCAGGGCACACACAGCACCAAGAGGCAAGGTAGCGACAGCTGAGTTAGTCTCAAATGCGTTCCCGAGGTCGTGGTGAGAAATCCTGTAGTCCACGGGAGGGCGAGATGGAGATGCGGACATTACAACTCAACCCTAACCTCTACACTCTTAGTCTGCATTTCCAATGGGCTCCATGGGCTGGGAACATGGTTCACTTGAAGAGCACGGCTTGGAATGTGCAAGGTCCTGGGTTCCCGTCCCCAGCATTGCAAGCCAAAGAGTGCAAACCCAGCAGTGTCTCACAGTCAAAAGGTGAAATGGGTGCTGACCCAGTTTAAATTTTCAGAACACTCAACAGTACAATAAAACACAAACAGAAATAAAAAGTCAGCCCCATCAACACAGGGTCCAAGAGAGAGAGAGAAGAAGGGACGGGGACATTTAGGCTTTACTGGGCACATTTTCTTGGTGTCTGTGGCCAGTCTCTCCATCCACACTCACCTCCCCCCACGCCGCGGCTGGGGGCTCCACAGGTGGGTAGAACTTGGGCAGGTCCCAGGCAATCTTGGTCATAAACCACTTGAAGCTCTTGCAGTTGAGGGAGCTTCGGAGCTTTTTCTGGGCCACGACATCCCCAGCTGAGAGGTGGCGGTACTCCGGTCTGCGCTGGTATATGTACTCTGCATACTCATCCATCCACACCTCTGCCACTCGCTTCAGGTTCTGGAAAGGAAGGTAGGTGGAAGGGTCAGGCTTGCTGAGGAGCCCAGGCCAGCCCAGAGCCATCCTGCTAGCCCTTACACCTTATTTTTTGAGACAGGGTCTCTCACTGAGCCTGGAGCTGGGCTGGTAACCAGCAACCCCCCAGCTACCCTGTCTCTTTCCCTGGTTTGGGTTTGGTTATAGATGTTGGGTTATAGGTGGCTGTTTATGTGGGTGCTGGGATCCAAACTCAGGTCCTCACATCAGCACACTGAGCACTTACGAAGTTGCTTCTCCAGCTCTTAACAGCCATTTTGAGTTGGGTTTCTGTCACTTTCAACCAACAGTTCTGGCCAAATTCCACGCCCAGAAGGTTTAATCCTGCCAGCAGGTGAGATTTCTCAAGATCCTCAGAGGCTTGAGAGTTGTTTTTTGTGTTTGTTTTTTTTTTTTTAAATAAAGCCCTGGGACAGCCAACTACAAGACAACAACCAATGGGAACTGGAGGCAGTCCTGGGCAGAGCAATTTGGAGACAGGAAGACTAAGATCTTGTGTGTCGATCATGTGAAAACCCTGTATTCCTGCAGTGTACCCCACTCAGAACGTAAGAGCACAGGTTAGAGGAAGCTGCTGCTTGCAAACCTCTCCCTTCAAACCCAGGCTTCCTTCAAGGGCTAGGACCCGCTTCCCCCTCCCTCAAGACTTCCCCCTCCCTCAAGACACACATGGAACTGGATGGGCTTGAGGTTAATCTGAATTTCCCTCTGAAGTGTCGCAGTTATTGACGCCTGTGTGTAAAGGTTTGCTTTAGGAGCAGACAGCATGGCGGGGCTGCTGGACAAATGTTTAAGTGTTTTCTGGTGGAGATAATTGAGTTCTGCAGACCAGATGGTCTCAAGGCATGGTGGCATAAAACAGCCAGGGCCTATGTAAATGAGGGAGCGTGGCCATGCACCAATAAAACTTTATGACGTCAATCACCATTTGATTTTCAAGTGTCACAACCTGGTGTCCTAAGTTCTTGGGGCCTCCCCTCCAGTTGCTTAAAATCGTGAAAACCATTCTTAGCTCTTAACCCAAGCCAAAAGTCACCTTCTCCTGAGCACAGGGAGGCACAGTGACACCAAAGAGGCCCTGCATGGGAACACTACCCTGTGGCAGGACTCTGTGCTCATCCCAGAGGCAGCCAGGTCTCCTTGCAGCCTCTGACCCCACTGGAAAGAGAGCTAGCTCCGTTGGGTGCCTGTGCAGCAAAGGCTGGGCCTGGTGGATGTGGAAGGCCCCAGAGTCTGCACATCAGGAACCATCTAGAACATGGGAACTCTTCTCTTTCCCTGGCCTGCCTGCTAAGGCCTGTCCCCTCCACCTGCTGCAGGACTGCTTTTCTTACGTACCAGTTCCAGTGACAGCCCTGTGCAGCAAGACCGAGTGTTTGTTCTAGAGGCAGATGTGCCACTAAGAGAGCATGCTGGCTCTCTCAGGGCCCTGAGAACCTCTAAATGCCATTCAGGAGGCAAGTGCCCTAGAAGCCTGTGAATTTGATTGCCAAAAGCAGCGAGCCAACTTTTTTTTTTTTTTTTTTTTTTTTTGAAGACAGGATCTCGATTATGAAGCCTGGGGTGGTTTTGAACTCTCCACCCCCCTTGTCTCAGGTTCTGGAATGCTGGGAAGACCAAACACATTGCACCTGACCTGCAACTAAATGATGGCAGTGAGCTGCAGTTCCGGTGGGCACAGGCACCTCACATGCAGCCGCACAGGGGACAGCTGGGCTTACAGAGAAGAGGTGGGATGGGCCCCTGGGGTTGGCTCATGCCAGACGCAGGGCCTGACTCAGGACAGATGGCCAAAGACGTTAGACGTCTGGGCGGGATTCAGATGAGACACAGAAGCACACTGTCCAGCCCCAGATGTTAACGGGGATGCGGCCACTAACACCTGTGAGGACAGTCACAGCTGCTGTTTAGGGCACAGATGCAGGCGTCTGTCAGCAGGAGGTGGAGTTTTCCTTTCCTCTCTCCCTCCCGGAAGTGGAGATCAGAACCCAGGGAGAAGGGAGGTCAGTGTGCACTACTCTGCAGGGTGCCTGGCTGGGATGCAGGGGTTTTTTTTGGTGTCACTGCAGCCCCCCAGCACCCTGATGTTCATCTCTGGTTTAGAAAAGGATGCAGTGGGGCAGGTCCTGGGTCCTGCTCGGGGGTCACTGTCCCCATGCTCCTGGTAGCCTCCAAGAGCGGCAGTCTCGGGCTTATGAAAAGACGTTGGCTCTGTTCTCCTGTTTGGCATCCTGCAGGGGAGGCCGAGGGCATCTGGGAAGATTTCCACCTCTTGGACTTTATCTGGAACCCAACTCCCCTGCTAAGGGGCTGTCCATAGAGCAGCGGGCTTGGCGGCTGTCATTGGAGATTCTCACCACTAGAGGGCTCTGCCACCCTGCCTCCCAGGCCATGTTCTGGCTCAGCAGTGCTTGAAGCCGAGGAAATGACTCTCTGGCAAAGCCTGGAAAAGCAGAGGGTTGGGAACCCAGGCAGCAGGTCCCCCAATGTTTCTTTGCTGGGGTGTGGCTGCACTCTGGCCTTTCTAGTATTGCAAATGGCGTTGTGTCTTTTCATCCCCCACCCCCAGGCACCTCCTTCACTTATTTTTGAGGTCACCCTTATTTTTTATTTTATTTTTTTTAATTTCCCCAGTAAAAGAATGATCATCTCCCAAATCTTTTGCTAATGATTACCCCTTGCAGTCAGTGGTCAATTTAGTTCAATCCCTGATACGGTTTTCAGGTCAACAAAACAGTTTGACACGTTTCGGGGGTGGGTGGGTGAAGAAGAGAGCCATTTATTTATTATGACATCTACCCCCAAGCTTTTCAACAGTGATGATAAGAGCATCATCATGCCTGCTTGACATGTTTCTTTAAATCACCCCTGGTCTAGCTTTGCATCTCTGTAAGCTCTACCACAGGTGGCCCTCCTGTGAAATGACCAGTTCACTCCACTTAACACACCAGTTTCCCGTCTTTCTGCACCCCTGGGCAATGATGAGTTGGTGAAAATCAACTCCAGTTCAGCAAAGCTCCAGGCGGAGCCTCAGAGGAGTCCGGCAATCCTCCCCCGGCCCACAGCCTCCACGTAGTCAAGCCGGGCTATATGTAAGTTCCTTTCAGTTGGATTTAACTTGGACATCATCTATCAGTCACTTAGCCTGGGAGCCCAGGGTGTCTCCACGCTACCACAGGCTACCCCAGTTCCCCGGAAAGCCACCGCCTTACCCGGGCCAGGCTGACTCCAGCGGGGACCTTGTAGGGCACATACTTCCTGTAGATGTGGCCCACCCTGGAACAGGGGATGTCCTCCATGCGGCCCCCACACATCCACACCTGCAGGGCGAGAAGGGAGGACGAAGGTGACGCCTCGATCCTTATGACTCCATCCTCTCAAACGCCAGCACACAGTCCGCGTGGTTTCCTCAAGTCCTGAACTCAAAACGGTGCAGAAAAAGACCTCAAAGGCTACAGAAAGAGCTGCTGGCCATGGCTGCCGGGCGCTGTGCAGAACCCACGGCAGACGCTGGGGTGCACAGGAAGTTAAGTGTCCAGGCTAGACCAGAAACCCATGGGCCAATAGGTGGCCCATCAGGTAAGAATGCACCTACTGTCAAGCCTTGGGTTCTGCATGGAGGAAGGGGAGAAGCGACTCCCCCGAGTTGTCCTCTGACCTCCATATGTGTGCCACAGCACCCCCCCCCCCAAATTCATTAGTAAAAATAAATCAGATAGACGGGGCCCCTCAACATTCCCATGTGAATGAGGTGGTAATGGGTGCCAGTGAGGGAAGAGGCATTTTCTTTAGTGGTGTAGCCAACTGGTAAGGTGTCCATGGTCCCGTGAATAAGACTAATTGAGCTCGCTGGTTCACGTGCCCACAGACATGAAAGGGGACAGGCTGGGAAGAAGCAGGGGATCGGGGTGGGGAGGAGGCTACCACACTGCCCTCAGCAGCTGGGACGGTCTGATTCAGGAGCTACTAAAGCGATGAGAACAAGAAGCACGCAAAGGCTCACGGGTAGGCATGGATACTGCCACCATGGACGCCAGAGGTTTGGAGTCCAATGGGGTGTGAGGGAAGGGAAGGCACGGGCCCCTGTCAGGGTGTGGCTGGACAGGATATCTTCATACGTTCACTTTTACAAAGCTGGCTCCGTTCATGGGATGGGGTAGGTGCAGTCTTGGGCAGATACTACAGTCCAGAATCGAGGCCACGGTGGCTTTGGGCATGGAGGGTCCTAGCTGCCTCTGGGACATTAGCCATGTTCTCACGTTCCGTCTCCTGTGGCTTGAGAGACTGGCATGGGACACTGATGATGCATGCTCTGTGCAGCGCCCTTGCTGGGGGCGCACAGGGGGCTGGGCTTCATGTCCTAATCCAGTCAGGGCTCCCAAAGGGTCCTGGGTCTCACTGCCACCTGTCAAGATGGACGCAGGCTGTCCCCTGTGCCATTGCCCACGGTGGGAGGTGTCTGAGGCTGCAGTTAGCAGGCAGGCAAGGCAGTTCTGCTCTGACGGTGGGGAAGAGGGAAACCCTGGCTTAGTCAATCGAACAGAATGCTGGTCTCAAGATAATGGGCTCCGGATGCTAGATTAACGTCAAGGCCAAGCCAAGAAGTTTATTTTTAAAGCAGGAGATATCGATCAGCCGCCAGCCTGCTTGACATGTTTGATTGATGCCAGGCCGAGATGCCTGCCCATTGCCAGGCCACCCTCTGCCTTTCTGAGAGAGGGGTGGTGCCAAGCTGGTAGGGACTACTTGCCTACCCTGGTTTTGACCATCTCCTGTGATGTGAGCATTAGCCAAAGCTGCCCCCAGCCCTGCTGGCTGGGGGCCCTTCCACTGTTCCAACAGAACAAGTGAAATCTTTTTGCTGGGACCTCCAAGTCCTCTGGCCTTGGCCACACTGGCCACCAGTCAGACAGAACCAGGGTGACCTTGCTCTGCTGGAAGGACTGAGGCATCCAAGATGTTCCCAGGGCATAGGATGTCCTAAACTCACAGAGGATCTGGCTGGGTTCCCTCCACGGGTTCCTGTCCAGGATGGAGGTGCTGGTGGCTGATTCAGAGGGGAGTTCTCTTGAGGCTAACGCTGCGGCTGACTGCTGACTCCACTTGGATTACCCAAGATGCGTCTCCCACAGGTCACCGGCATGAGAGGGTTCCCTGTGGCTGTCTTCTCCCCTCTCCCCTCTCCCCTCGTGTCCCCCTCTCCCACAGCTCCCCCCTCTGCCTGGAGAACTCCTAGTACCCTGAACTCTGCTGCCTCCCTACCCTCCCTGCAGGGCCCCACCTGATACCTCCAAGGGGCTAACTGACTCACAGCAGGGACACACACTTCCTCTTCATTGCTTCTCTCTCTCTCTCTCTCTCTCTCTCATAATTTAATTTTATTTTATGTGCATTGGTGCGAGGGTGTCAGATTCCCCTGGAACTGGAGTTATAGACAGTTGTGATTTGCCATGTGGGTGCTGGGAATTGAACCCGGGTCCTCTGGAGGAACGGCCAGTGCTCTTAACCGCTGAGCCATCTCTCCAGCCCCTTCATTGCTTTTTTTTTTTTTTTTCTCAAATGCAACATAATTATGTGCACAGATGCATCTCAGCTGTGATCCTCCTGCAGTGGTCATGGGCGTCTCTGCCTGTCGGCACTCTTCCTCTGTGTGGAGGACTGTCCTACTCACTCCTCCTGGGGGCCAGTGACCAGGCCAGCCAGCTTCAGCCCCCAGCCTTGCTGGCTGAGGCCTCAGGTCCTTCTGTTTGAGAAAGTGTCTCATGTGCTTGTGTTCTTAGCCAGGAGAGCAGCCACTGGCTGAAATGGAAGGCCTTCCTCCCATCTTTCTCTGGATGCAGGCTGCCTTCTTTTTTGCACTGGGAGACATGAGGCTCGAGAGAGTCACTATCATGGTCTCCATCACCTCTGCCTTGTGACAAACATCTCTCCACTGGAGAGACAGCTTCCTCAAACCAGGGGTTGCCCCTTTCTGGGACAGAAAGCCAGAGACTCAGGTTGGCGTCCGGAGTTGTACTGGGCCATGGCAACCGTGGCCGGTCCAAGGCCCAGCCTGGCTCTGCTCTTAGCCAATCACATTGCAGTTCCAGGCCTTCCTTCCCTCACAAGTCAATGCAGCTTCACGTGGGGACACTAAGATCCAGCTGTAGTCAAGTCCCTCTCCAGCCACCACCCGCTGGCTCCAGGAGGGCCAGGGCTGCAGCTGGCCCTGGGGCAGACTCACAGCCGTCAGGCTAAGGACCCTCAAGGCGCTTCCTATAGGTTCCCACAGGCTGCTGGGGAGCTGTAGGAGACAGCCCTGGAGAGGGAGCCATAGTAGACTGAGCAAGTGGACCCGGAGTGGGGGAGGGTCCCTACCAGGGAACTGTCAGTCCCTCAAGCTTGGCCTTTACATTGTTTTCCGTCTGGGCTACTGGTAGAAGGGTCCCATTGAATGATGGGGTCAGAGGGGAACGGGGAGGCATAGAGAGAAGAGGTGGTGTGTGTGTGTGTGTGTGTGTGTGTGTGTGTGTGTGTGTGTGTGTGTGTGTGCTGAGCTACAGAACCCAGTACTTAACCAGCTTCAAGAGCTGACAAGATGCCACGCTCCAAGCAGGGGACTCTGACACAATGACCTCTGGGAGACAGAAGGCTGTTGAGGACAGGAGTAGCAGAAAGAAGGGGTCAGTGACCATTCCAAACATTTCAGACTGCAACTTTTATTTTGAGGCAAAGTCTCATGCAGCCCAAGCTAACCTTGAACTCCTGATTCTCCTGCTTCCTAGTGCTTAGGATCACAGGCAATGCACCACCAAGCTAGGTTATGTTGGGGATCGAACCTAGAGCCTTGCACATGTTGGGCAATCACTCTCTACCAAGTGAGCTACATCTCCAGCTCCTTGCTTTTTTTCCCTTTCCTTTACTTTTCCTTTGCTTCTTTTCTTCCATATATACTGTATATATATATATTACAGTATTCTGCCTGCATGTGCCCTTGCAGGCCAGAAGAGGGCACCAGATCTCACTACAATGGTTGTGAGTCACTATGTGGTTACTGGGAATTGAACTCAGGTCCTCCAGAAGAGCAATCAGTGCTCTTAACCACTGAGTCACCTCTTCAGCCCGCTTCTTTTCTTTCAACACAGGGAAGTTAATTATGTAGCCCAACTTAGCCTTTGACTCACCACACCCCTCCTGCCTCAGCCTCTGAGTGCTGGGATTACAGTTGGGTGCCACCATGTCCAACCAATTCATCAATGGTGGCACAGATTTAATTATTCACTTATTCTGTGGCAGGAGCTCACACTTGCTGAGAAAGTCCTGTAACACCGAGCTACGTCTTCAGCCCTGGAATGGGTCTGGTTGGGGTTCTTCCATGAGGAGAAACAGGCCTGGCGTGGAATCAGAGCTGGATTATTAATCTGTTAGGCCCAATGGCACAGAGAGATCCGTCATAACTTCTGGAAGTACACTTTGTGTCTTTCAGGCTAGCGTCTTTTCTGTCACTATGAAGGATGGGGTCTCAGTAAAGGGAATCTGGCCCTTGGGAGAGGCCAAGCCCTGGCCGACACAGAACCCTGTGTTCAAAGAGACACCACAGCAGATGGACAGGCCTGCCTCGGGCCTGGAACACAGGCAGGACAGGTGGGCTGTCGCTGGCTGGCCGGGAGAGAGAGAGTTGAAGGAAGAATGCCCCCCTCCCCAGACCCGCTCATTACATCAGCTCATTTCCCCCAGAGAGTGCCCGACATAATTGGATCAGATGGGATTGCAGCCAGCCTCCTTCCTGACACTCCAATGTGGCTTCATTACCGAGTCTTTTGTAAATAAACCGAGTGGAGGAAAAAAAAAATCAACCCAACAAAACCACCGTTTGTTCTGCCGCTGTGGTTGCCTGATGAGTGACATTACATGGGTCTTTGAAACACAGGGAACAAAATGAAATCTTTTTGGGTTCAGAGATCCCTTTGTCAATAACTCTCCACTGTTCTCCACGGCAGCAGCTTTTTTTGGATGAGTTGCCGGGGGACCCGGAAGCGGCTCTGGCCAGTGACACAGCTGCTCCGGGTCACATAGCTCTAGCCACAGATAGGCATGCAGCATCCTCCATGCCAGGCGGCCCTTCAGGTGCTGGGGAAGCGGCAGTGAGTGAGACACAAAAGCATCCAGGATCTACTGCGGTTGATTACCTAGCAACCCTTCACAGTTCGGATGGGTTTCTTTCTGGGGACAAACCTGGAAGACTACTACGTCATCAATCGATGTTGGGTGGACCGATCCGTGACTTCACTGCACCCATGGAATGTAGCGTTTGTCTAACTAGATGACATGGGCTAGGGAGACTGACTGACCCCACAGACAAGACCTCTGTGCTACAACTCACAAAACCTGGACTCAAGGCAGACATCATCGCTTATTAAACTATGTGATGAGCTTAGATACAGCCTGAGGGAGCATGTCCACTGGGGGATGGGGGTGGGGCCACCAACAGGCCAAGGGCATCTGGGGAGAGAGACTCATAGGCTATTTATTTTTCCTTTAAAAAACTATTTATTTTCGTTTTAAAAAGTTACGTATGTGTCCGAGTGTGGGTTTGTACATGAGAGAGTCAGTACCTGCAGAGGCCACAAGGGGGTGTCTGATCCTTTGGAGCTGGCGTTAGGAGAGAAGGGTTATGGGCTGCCCAAGGTGAATGCTGGGTTTTGAACTCGGATCCTCTGCAGGAGCAGTGCTCTCACCCACCCAGCCACATCTCGGGTCCCTTATTTGCTACTTCTGACTGCGTTCTACTCACTGAGAGCCCAAGGAACAGCCAAGTAAAACAGGCACGACCCCAGGAAGAGGCAAAACCGGAAGCGAGGGTGAGGAAGCGCAACTGATATTTTTAGGCTCGTTTTCCTCTCAGTTGGTTTTTTTTTTTTTCTCAATAGGCTAATACAGGGACTTTGGATCTGGCAAGCTTGGGGTCCGGCCCTGGTGGCCCCGTCGCTGCAGACTGAGTATTCTGAGTCCTACTTGCCCCCATGAGGCGGGTCTCACAGTGGCATCGCCCTCACAGGTGGCTGCGAGGATTATACAGTCCGACACATGGGAAGGGCTGGCGTGGCATCCTGTTAGCTCCAACAGAGCTGGAGGTGAGCTGTTACAGGGCACGTGCCCCAACTTAGTTGGTGGCAATTATTTTTGCTAGATACTCTTGGGCGTTACCCCTTGATACCAACATTAGTTTTATCTGGGAGGCTGGTCCTCTCAAAGGGCAGAGCACCAAAGACCTGGAGGTTAACAGAGACACAGACGGCTTTATCATGGCAGAGAAATGTTTGGGCGGAATTCTAGGAAGCTGTTTGTACTCCCCAGGTCTGAACTGTGCAGCCAGTTCTGTAGATGATACCGACATCTTGATAGCAATAACGTTCTTTAGGACTCTTACTAACTAGCTCCTAGCAAGCATGGTCTCATTAATTCTCAACAACACTGAGAGCCACATAACCACTAGCCTCGTTTTATGGAAGCTGAAATTAAGGCTCAGTGAGGGGAGACATCCCGGTCCAAGACCACATAGCTGCTGCCGGAAGTCAGAACTAGGACCTGACTCGGACCACCCAGCCCTGAGGTCCCTCACCAGCGTTTGCCATCAGACCACTGCACTGAAGTATGATGCTCAAACCAGTAATGGCGCTGGTTGTCCCTCCTGGGTTGGGTACTTGTCAGTCACAGGGGCTGGTTATGGTTATGTGGGATGCCGGTTTGTGTCTGTGTGTGAGTGTGTGTGCATGCACACATGTGCATATGAATGCCACAGCACGTATATAGAGGGCAACTTGTGGGAAAGGGTTCTCTCTGTCCACCGTGCGGGTTCTGGGGGTGGAACTCGGGTCACCTGGCTTTGCAGTGAGTGTCTTTACTCCTCAGCCATCTCCCCAGCCCTTGATACTGGTCCTGACGGACCACACGAGTATAGGATAAGCTATTCTTTCCCTCACAGGGGCAGAGCTGCCTTCTCCTGGGGCCCAGATACAGAGGAGAATGTACACTCCTATTACTAGTGGTAAACTAGTTGCTTAACTAGTAACTCCTTCACAGTCACTGTCAGGCAGCTTGCTGGCTCCAGGCTGACCCAGAGGCGACAGTAAATATTGACGGACGTCGTCTTTAGCAAATGTCTGTCAGCTACTAATCTCTGGCTGTGGTCCAGGCTCTGTGCTAAGCACTGTCTAGTCTTCTCAATTAACTGTCCCAGGCCCTGGGCTCGTGTGTGCGTGTGTGTGTGCGTGTGTGTGTGTGTGCGCGTGTGTGTGTGTGTGTGTGTGTGCGCGCGTGCGTGCGTGCGTGCGCGCGTGCGTGCGTGTGTGTGTGTGTGTGTGTGTGTGTGTGTGTGTGTGTAAGCTTGAAGGTCGCTTCCACCCTCCTACTGCCCCCTACCTCAGGGAGTGGCTAGCCAGCTCCCGACTCCTCCACCCTGGGAGCAGAGAAGCCACAGCAGCTGCACGTGGGAGAGCAGACTCACCTTGAAGGAGATCTCATACTGCTCCCCTCCCCAGATCTCCAAGCCAGGGTCATATCCGCCCAGCTCCCAGAACCACTTCCGGTCCACAGCAAACAGCCCTCCAGCCATCACGGGTGACCTGTCAGAGAAGGGGCGTGGTCTGAGGACACGTGGTCAGAAGCCCTGCTTCCTAGCCAACGGTGTCCCCAGAAACTCAGCTTGTCTGCTGGGGACTCCAAGGCCTCAGGGGTGGGGACCTGACCACTGTATTCTAACCTAACGGATCCCCAGTCCCTTGATGGGATTAACACCTGAGGGTGTCTGGGAAGTGACATTTGTGGCACCAGATCTCACAGCTGCAGCACAGACATCTGTCACCAGCCTTCCCCTTAGCTGCGGGGGTCTGAACCAGATGTCTTCAGCATGAATGTGCAGCAGAACCTTCCAGAGAGACTGAAAAAAAATAACACAGCTTGCTGGGACCTCGCCCGGCCTATGGAAGCAGCAGCCTCTGGGCCAGGGCCGAGGCATCTGCTTTGGAGCTGGCTCCTTTGAGGGTTCTCCGTGACTGAGCTCAGCCGACGCTCACTCGCTCGGCTGTGCTGTCCACAGACGCCAGCTCAATCCTCCCAGTTACTCCGGGAGGAAGGATGAACTCCACTCATTCATTCATTCATTGGTTTATCACTGAATGCCACTCGCGAGGCAGGTACTGGAGGGACCAGGAGACAAACCACCGTCCTTCGGGGGACAGCAGTGTGGCAGAGCAGTCACCTCAGCCCAGAGGGACCCGGGAGACAGATGGAGGATGGGACAGGCCTCTGGGGACTACAGGCAAGAACACTAAGGAAGAGAAAGACTGTGTCTGCTTCTGGTCCTGGGAGTGAGGGGGCAGGGAGAGGGGATAAGGAAGGATGCTCAGAGGAAAAGGTGCTGAGGAGGTTTGCTGAGGGAAAACACCTCAGGGGAGAAGGGAGCTACACCAGGCAAGGCACGGACACTCAGAGGGGTGAGGGAGTGAGGGTGTGACTGACGTGACAGGTTCCAGAGGACACCACGGTGCCTCACACAGGGCAGCACCCAGCAGAAGCTGCCCAACGTCTGCTGTGTGTGAAAACCTATCGGGATGGATGCCTGTGCCCCGGTCTGAGGGTAGAAAAATCCAAACCTCCAAACCAACGTGCTGGGGGGGGGGGGCCTTCACGCCCCCCGCTTGGCTCCAGGACTCACGGCAGAGATGGTCGTGACAGATGTGACAAGGTGGACTGACCATGTGCCTCCTGAGCCTTCTTTGTGGCAGGTGGAGGGGACCTTCGTACAAGGGGGGGGACGCCTGGGACGTTAACTGAGGGCACAACACACCACAGCCTGTCCTGCAAGTACTCCGGTATCCTTCCCACCTCGGCCTTCCAAGCGGGTGGAGCCCACCGTTGCCACCCCGACTTTACCCCTGCAAACGGCAGCGGTCCCTGGTTAACTCGTGGGAGGCTTCTGAGCTACCGGCTGTTCACGGCTAGCTTCTGACCCTGCCTCTAAGCCACGGGTTCAAATCGCTGACCATCCACCCGGCTTCCCTCATGAATGAGCTGTGGTGATACAGTAGGCAAGGGTCAGTGGGCTGCATGAGACCCTGTTTAAGAAAAGACACACACACACACACACACACACACACACAGCCTCTGCTCTCGATTCCTGCTGTGTTACCGAGGCGATATCACCCCTGGGTGGCTTAGGATTTGCTGCTGCAAAGAGAGGTGCTGTACGTGGGGGACAGCCGAGATTTGGGATGAAGTGTGGGGTGTGAGAGAATTAGATAATTTTAGCGGTTAGAGAATTGGTGCTCAGTTCTGAGTGGGCTCAGGACCGTGGACCCTCTGCTCTGGACATGAGGAGAAGTGAAGACGCCCAGTGCTTTGGGAGGGGCCCTGGGTCACTGCCACTAGGAGCCTAGGCCAGTGGTACTTACTCAAATGGGTCACTGGGGTCAGCCTTCTGCAGCTCTGGAGGGATGGGGATCCGCTTGTAATACATCTCCCAGTCGAAGGCACCCCGCATGGCGTCCCCGGCCTGTGTCTCATACCGGAAGTCATCGTGGTCGATGACGTCGATCATTGGGCACACGATGGTCTTTCGGTTCCGAGCAATGCGGTCTGAGGTGGTGGAGAGATGCCAGTTAGTGGATGCGGCAGTGGAGGGCAGCTCCTGTCTATAGGGCACTTACCGTGAACAGTTCCCGGGATGATCATCTTTAACAGCTGCGTAGGAGCCACAGAGAGGAAGAACATTGCAGGGTTTGTTTGTGTGTTTTTTCCCTTACACAGGGTCTCACGTAGCCCAGGCTGGCCTGGAACTCACTATGTAGCTAAGGATGACCTGGGAAATGATTCTCTTGACTCTACTTCAATTTACGATGTAGCCAAGGCTGGCCTTGAAGTCCTCCTTCTCCCAAGTGCTGGGATCACAGGCATGTGCTTGGAGTCCGCAGGCTTTTGTAAGAAGGACTATGGCTTCCTTCCAGACCCAGTACCACAGGAGGCACTTCCTCAGACAACAACTCCAAGCCCTAGGGTCTCTTCTGTGAGATCGGGTGGGAGGGTCTGCCTCAGAGGTTGTTAAAAGGCTTGGATAACACAGTATTTGAAAATTTCAAATTATGGGGCTGTGGATGTATGGCTCTGCTGTTGGCATACACTAATTTTCTTCTATGAGGACCCCTATTCTGGCTTGCCTCACTTCTTGTTGCAAAATCCTGATCGTGACTCACGGCCAAAAGCAGCCAGGTCCCCTAGTGTCCGTCTGTCTGTCCCAACTGCTCATGGGCACCCACGGCTGTGATCAGCAGTAAGACAATTCGGCTTGAGTTTTTAAACAGCCTAAGCTATGCAAAAGGGAGCAGACATCCCTTGGGTTCTGGGTCGCCAAGCCAGAAGGTATGCAGGCAGAGAGTGCCACCCCATGGAATGCTATAGGTTGAGTGATTCAAGACAGCAAATGGGGTCTTGACCCAGTCTATGTCACGGTCCCTTTCAAACGTGGGAGGAGCTGACTGATTCACTCTGCCCAGTCTACAAACAGGATTCCAGTGCTGGTTTGATCTACCCTCTATTGTTCCCACAGAAAGCTCTGTCTGCTTCGAGGGGACCACTGTGGGGTCAATGATCTGCTACGAGGGGCAGATGGGCTATGCCGGGGAGCTTGCTGCTCGGGGGAGGAGGGGGTCAAGGTTCATGTTCAAGACTTGCAATGTGGGCCCTGGAGGGCTAGAGAAGGGCAGGGCCCACATTTCATCAAGCCATACAGCACTTCTCCCAAAACACTGTGCCTGTTTTCTAATCTGAAGGCATGGCCTAAGTAGGTGGGAAGATGAGTGGTGAAATTGTGTGTGTGTGTGTGTGTGTGTGTGTGTGTGTGTGTGTGCGCGCGCGCGCGCGTGCATACATGCATGCAAGCCTGGAGAACAGTGACCATTAACCTCACTTCACGAGACAGCAGATTCTGTTCGGGCCAAATGATGTCAGGATGCATGGTTTAGTCCCACTACGTGTGCAGGTGTGTACTAGATTGAGATGGCCACCGCAGTTCCAACTGTGACACGTGGTTTAAACGGTTGCAGAGGCTGGAGATGTACCTTAGTGGTAGAGCATTTGTCTAGCATGCAAGAGCCTCAACATACACACATACACACATACACACACACATTCACACACACACACAGATTTACACACACAGATTCACACACACACAGATTCACACACACACAGATTCATACACACACACAGATTCATACACATACACACACAGATTTACACACACACACACACACACACACACACACACACACACACACACACACACAGAAATGCCACTTGCAGCATATATCCCCAAATGGACAGTAGTATGATTAGTGCTAGATGCACTTGGGGTAAGTTTCACCCCCACATTGTTCTCCTGACCCGCTGAGTCAGAATCCCTGGCACATGGCTTGGATCTGCCTGTGGGCAAGCTCCCTTGGGTGGGAACGCGTCTTCATGATGCTTAGGGGCCTTGAGGGAAAGATCTAGAGAAGGGCCCCTATCCTAATTATTTAAGACCTCTGAGGTGACTTCACTTCCGTAGATGCTTGGGGCCAAGGATGTCTGACAGCTGACCCTGCTGGATGGCAGTGGCCCGTGTCATTGAACTTGTTTAGGAACTGGACACCAGGTTTACATCCTGATGTCACCCCTTCATAGTGCAGCTTTGGACATGGCTGGCTGATGTCTTGGAGTTTTGGTTTCTTTGTTGACCACAGGAGGATGAAATGCCCTACCCCCAGGGTCTCTGAAGACTGACATGCCAGTATTCCCTATTTTTCCATGACTGTGACAGATACCGCACGACACTCACAGGAGCCATTATGAGCTTGAGTACCCCTGTCCCTTCTGTCACAAGCAAAAATGTAGGTAAGAATGCCGAGCCTGCCTGCTGGACTGTGTAAGTCACATCCAAGTACAGACTTGGCCTAAACTCAGAGGGACTCTCAAGGCCTCGGGGATGAGGATAATGATGAAGAAAAAGGAGGTGATGACTCCGAGCAGGTTTCCCACCGGGCTGAGTCCTCAGGCTCCGTGTCTAACCATTAATGAGGGCAGAGCCAGCCGAGCTAGGAGGTGTTAATGGATTCACAGACAAAAGCCACGCTGGGATCCACATGGAGATTCTTGTGTTTCTACTCGAGGGGGGGCGGCGAGTGAGAGGGGATGTGTCTTCCTTCTGCCGAGGACGAAAACAGCCCTCATCCATTTCCATAGAAACAGAGTTAAGGGCTGTTTAGACAAGCTCGACTCAGCGGTCCACCACTTCATTCTCACGAAAGGACCCTCCACACGGCTGCTCCTCTTGGACTGCAAATGTGCTGGACGCTGAGGCCCAGGCCTTTTCGTTCTCTCCTTCGGTAATGAAAGGCAGGTGTAGGCCATTGCTTGGTTTAATTAAATACACAATTTGCCAGAAATTATGGTCTTTCTCTCAGCCTCCTGAGATCCTGGGCCCAACTGTCAGAAGTGCGCGATCCAGTAAGTTCTCCGTGATGTGCTCAGGAAAACAAGAACAGCTGGGTCGTCCTGGGGGGCTGTATGGGGCTGGCTTTCAGTCCTCACCCGCACGGTGGCATTGGCTGTGCTGTGGTTGTTGGAGCAGGTGGCACTTGGTAGCTGCCTCAACAGCAAGTGACGCCCTCTGTGACCACCATAATCAGCATGTCTGGGGTGGAGTGTCTGGCGGGGGCAGCACAGGTCTTTTGGAGAAGTGTGCTGCGTGGGGATTTGTCCGCTGAGACGGACAGCCTACCCTTTGAGAAGTTCACTTTTCTCTTGAGGGTGGTGACCTCACAGCCTGCCCTGGCCCTGTCTTGCCACGTCTCTCAGTCCTGACAGGACACCTGACTTAAGTGTCTGCCTGGCAGTACCTGCTTACTGTCTCCATCCGAGTGGAACTCAGAACTCCTAACCCGGCCTTCCTCCACGAGGAGTCCCTCACGCCCACGCTCTACCCACAGGCTTCCGCGAAAGGAAGGCTCCTGGATCGTGCCTCCCCCCCGGGCCTCGGAGAGGAAGGGGGCCTGGGAAGCAGTGTGGAATTGTGGGAAAGAACAGACGCTGGCGACTTTGACATCAGTTGCCCCAGGGGACAAGCAAGCCACCCAGCATCTCCACTTTAGTTTCTTTGGCTACAAAAGAGACCAGTTCAATCTCGTGCAACCTTTGTGAGGCCTGGGGGGTCTTTTTCTGCAACCTGCCCGGCTCACACTGTTGGTGCTAAGCAATAAGTACTTTCATCTGACATCAAGACAAATGGTTCTTTGGTTTAAGACCGGGTCTCATGAATCCCAGTCTGGCCTTAGACTCAGCCTTTAGCTGAAGATGACTTTGAACTTCTGATCCCTCTGCTTCCACCTCCCAAGTGCTAGGGCGACAGGTGTGTGTCATCATGCTTCCTCTATGCTGCGGAACACTGGGGATCAAACCCAGAGCCTCATGCATCCTAAACAAGTGCTCTACCACCCGAGCCGTATCCTCCAGGCTCTATCATTTAGCTCTCAATGGTAGACAGCTTTGGCTTGCTCGCCAACAGACCTAAGACCATCCGAGGAAAGTCATCTGGTCACTGGCGCTTAACGTTTTCTACTCTATGAAACCAGGGGACAGGCCTGAACTCCTGAGCCTCTTCTGGAGCCTGGAGCTCTGCTGGGTGCTATCAGGCAAGCGGAAGTCCCAGTGTCACCGCGGGGTGACAGGCCGCACACCCACTCCAGGTCATCCCACTCCTCACCGAGCAAAGGCGGGAGCCAGTTGACGTTGGCTTCACAGTGCGAGTCTAAGAACGTGATGACGTCCCCGGTGGCTGCCGAAGCCCCCAGCATTCGGGTCCTGATCAGGCCTTCCCGTTTCTTGGTCCGGAGAATCCTCACGCTGGGGAAAAGGGCCATGTAGTCCTCCAGGGGCTTCTTCAGATGCTCTGTGAGGAGACAGAGGGGGCGAGGTGGGTCAGAGCGGCTGTGTGGGAATCACTCCGTCACCCAGCACAGTGAGGACACTAATTCCCAGTTCGCTGCCTCGAGGGCCTCAGATAGAGCCGAGCCGGGCAGGGGCCAACATCTACCGATGGGGAAACTGAGGCTCAAAGAGGTCCAGTCACGCGCCAGGGCTGGAACACAGAGAGACTTCACAGGCAAGGGGGCGGGGCACAGGCAGCTGCTTATGCCTGTCTCTAGTGTCTATTCCCTTCATCTCCTGATAGAAAGAGTGTGGTTTCCTGAGGAGACTGACCCTCCTCCTATGTCCATCCGACTTGGGTAGGCTGACCGCCTTCCCCTGGAGTGAGTGGGAGGAGCATGTGGCTCAGGCCTAGCCAATCACGGCACTCCATCCCTTGTGATTGGCTCAGGGATGACCCGCAAAGGTGCTTTAGCTTAAGTCCTGGGCCGAAAAACAAGGTGAGGAGAAGGGGTGCAGGGAGCGACCGAGGCGGCAGGCGGCCTGTAAATAAGTCAGAGGGAGTGCTGGTTAGATTCGGCATCACCTAGGAGACACAGCTCTGGGCGTGTCTGCGAGGGCGTTTCCAGAGAGGAGTAAACGAAGGAAGGACCCACCCTGGATGTGGGTGGCACCACGAACCACACTGAGAGACACCGTGCTGATGACATTTCTATCCACCATCTCCCCGAACCTGGAGCAGACAGACTCTACAACACACGACAGCTTCTCTTGTTTGCTCACTCTACCACGGGCTGGACGTTTGCCCTACTATTCCTGGAGAAGTTGTCCTGAGTAAGTATTGGAGATTTTCTTTCAGGCCAGTAAGATGACTCATCTGGTAAAGACACTTGCCATCAAGTCTGATGACCTGGGACAAGCTCTGGGATACACACGGCGGAAGGAGACTCCCTCCCTCAAGTTGTCCTCTGAGAGCCACACTTGCCAGCCTGTGGCATGTGTGTGCTGCCATTTCCCTCCCCCCCCCACACATAAAGTTATTATTATTTTTTTGAAAGCCTCCAGCACCTGATATTTCCGGGCAGTCTCCCATCCAAGTACTAGCCACGCCTGACCCTGCTTAGCTTCCAAGATCAGATGCAAGTGGGTGAGTTCAAGGTGGTATGGCTGTAGACACAGGATACTATTAGAAAGAATGTAATAAAAAGGGGTTGGAGAGATGGCTCGGGGGTTAAGAACACTTACTGCTCTTGCAGAGGACCCAAATCAGTGGCCAACTGCACCCACATAGAGGCTCAAACCTGTACCGGGGAACCAGTGCCCTCTTCTGGCCTCCACGGGCACTGCACGCACGTGGTGCATATACATATATTGAGCAAACATTCATACTTATAAAATAAAAATAAATAAATCCCAGCCTTCCTGTTGGGTTCTCTTGATGTTCATTAGGGTGTGGGATTTTATGAAAACCTAGGACGGCTTTAAAAAAAAAATCCAAAGACAAAAATGAAAAAAACCATGTAGCTTATGCCACAGTTAGTGATAGCTGATGCTTCTCTTCAGTCAGGAAAACCATGTGTGTTCACCGCCCTCATTTGTTAGGACAGATTTCCCAGCCAGTGCAACTGGTTAAAAAAAAAATCTAAAAGCACAAAGACCCAAGTAAAAAGATAACGGTATTGTCTGTATCTGAAGATGACATAAGCCTCCACACAGAGAATCCCACACATTCTCAGAGAAGCCAGAACAAATGCACTTAACTTAAGAAGGACTTGGGATACAGCTCAGTGTTAATTTAAGAGTCCATGGGATGTGTGTGTATCAGCTGGGAAATAGAATTAAAAATAAAAAAAATACCATTCACATATCAATAAAAGAAGAATAAGTACCATCTCAAAAATACAAAACATTAGCCAGGCATGGTGGCGCACAGCTTTGATCCCAGCACTTGTGAGGCAGAGGCAGGAGGATCTCTTTGAGTTCAAGGTAAGCCTGGTCTACAGAGAGTTCCAGGGCAGCTGGGGCTACACAGAGAAACCCTGTCTCAGAATAATGAAACAAAATACAAAACGTGGTTGGAAAACTCAAAACACCAAGACGGATGGGAAGACATCCCTTGTTCTGGGACCAAGGGTGTAGACAGCAATGGTTCCTCGTGACACGGACTTTACGCCATTAAAATCACAGTGCTTTCTTTGCAGAGGTAACAGTCAACAAGCCGCTCTTAAAGTTTATGCGGCAACCAAGGATGTAGAGTAGTGGAGTCTTCTAGAAAATGTCGGAACTCGTGTTTCTTCACCTCTTCATCGACAACTCACAGTTGCAGTAGTTAAGACAGCGCGAGGGCTGCAGAGATGGCTCAGTGGGTAAAGGTGATTGCCACAAAGCCTGACAACCTGAGTTCAATCCCTGGGGCCACTCGGGAGAAGGGAAGAACAGATTCCCACAAATTGTCCTTCGACTTTCACGCCTGACACACTTGTGCCTCGTACACGAGTGCACACACAATGCACGCACGCATGCATACTGACCAACATGGCATAAGGATCCACCTGCCTCCACCCCCCAAGGCTGGGGTTACAAACATGCACAGCCATGCTTGGCTTTTTCCATGAGTGCTGGGGATTTGAACTCAGGTCCTCAATCCTGCATAGCAAGCACTCTTACCACTGAGCCATCTCCGCAGCCCCCATACTTGTTTTTTTTTCTTTCTAAAGTTCAGAGTTCATAGCTTTATTTATTTATTATGTATACAGTATTCTGCCTACATATATGCCTGCAAGCCAGAAGGGGGGACTAGATCTCATTACAGATAGTTGTGAGCTACCATGTGGTTGCTGGGACTTGAACTCAGGACCTCTGGAAGAGCAGCCAGTGTTTTTAACCTCTGAGCCATCTTTCCAGTCCCCCCAACCCCCCCATACTTGTTTTTTTTTAAAGATAATTTTATATTAACCCATAAATGTACAATCGGCACCGTTTACAACCAACAGTGAATCAACAAGAAACAATGACCTATAAAAATAGAGTCAAGCCTAGCTTTTGTTTCGGTTTTGCCTCCCTAGGGGAGGTCAGGTCAGTCAGAACAGGTGTTCTGGGAAGCTAGCTGAGGGAGGAGAGAGTACAGCTAAGAGGCACCTCCCCCTGCTGGGATCCTGTGGAACCGCAAATGTCTCCCCAGGTACCATTTACAACCAACCATTCTTGGGGTGTGGGTCACGGAGACTTAAGACTTCTTCAGGATGGAGAGGGTGCGTCAGGGCGTGCTGCCTGGTGTTGTGAAAGCGGAGCAAGTGAGAGATTATGTTCACACACAGAGCGAAGCTGGGCAGCCAGTATGCACTCCCGGTCCAGTCTGCACTCAGGCAGTGAGACCCCCCGAGCAGGAGGCGCGGCCAAGCTCTGGTGGGCAGCTGTGCCTGCAGGCACAGTCTCCCCAAGGAAAAGAGGAAACCCCCACGTCTCTGCTCGGCGCTGCTGCTTCTGGCCTGCATTCAACCAGTGGGTTGTTAGCCGCGAGTGAGATTATCGGGCGCCGCACACCAGTGCTCCCATGGAGGGAGAAATATCACCTCCGCTGTGTAATCATCACGGTCCTCACATGCACAGAGCCCCCCATCACTAAATCACCCTAATGCAGATGGCTGCAGTTGTTACTGATTGGCCAATTAGGGCCTTTCGACAGCTTGTGGTAAAGTTGGAGCGATTATTTAGGGGCAATTACTGGCCTCCTGTCCTTATGAGAAGGTGTGTTTACTCAAAGCAGGGCTGCCTTATTTTACCAGTCTCCTTGCGCCGGGGACAGCGCAGAAGGTCACAGGATTTGGAGCTAAAAGGAACGGCAAATGAGGACGATGATGGTCACCATGGTGACAATTACAGGGGACACCTGCCGAGCCTGGCTCGCGCACAGGTCTCCCCACTTCACATGCCTTACCTCAGACACCCACAACACAAGAATATCGAGTGTTCCTGTTGATAGAAGATGTTCAGAGACGTAATTTGCTCAACAGCCAGTTACAAATTGGGACACCATGTCCATAGACTGATCTCACCTCTCACCTGATCCCTATGACGCACACCCCAGCACTCACTTCTACCCCATTTTATTAAGGGGTGAGAGGGCTGGAGAAGTTAATGGCTTTACCGGATTCACACAGTAGGGAGACACGGTAGGGCTATCTCCCAGGTCAGGATTCCTTCTAGAGTCACAGGATGCCTTCCACTGCCCACACCTGTCCCTCGGCCTGAGGCTCGCTGTGTGTGTGTGTGTGTGTGTGTGTGTGTCCACACTTGGGATGTATAGAGCGCCATCTCCACTGCCCCCTACTGTGTGGGAGCACACAGTGTGGGCTTCCAGTGAGGGAATGGTCACGTTTATTTCCTTGTGGTCCAGCCTGAGGTCCTGAAGCTTATGGGGTCTGTGTTGCTAGGGAACTCATGAAGAAGAACACTTGATTTTCAGCACCACAGTCTCCATCCCCTCCCAAGAATGCGTGCAGGTTGATCACGTGACCCTGGACTCAAGCTCACTCAGGAGAGATTGAATTGTCTCCTTGCATCCCCTCCTCAAGATCCACATTAGGGGACTGGACAGACGCCATTGATTCTGGTGTCAGAGGAGACAAAACTGAGGCCCGTGGGGAAGAAAGGTCTCATCCCAAGTTTCTCAGCGGGTGAGGTCCGAGTGCAGGGAACTTGAGGCCACCCCCCCCCCCCCCCCCCCCCCCCCCCCCGCTCTCAGTTCAGAGGGCGGAAGGTTCTCTCCTTCCATCATGTGGGTTCTAGTGAGTGCACAGTTTTTCAGATGTCATAGCAGCCACTTTACATGCTAGGCCATCTTGGTAGCCCCTTGCTCTTGGATTCTACGAATGTATCTCCCGGGAGCTGAGCTCAGAAGGGCTGCTGATTTGAACTGAATCTCTCGATTCCTGTGGCCGCGGCACTGTTTGGAAACATAGTCCCTGCAGATCGACTCAGTTCAGGTGCAGACAACACTGGGTGAGGGTGGGCTTGAAATCG